GAGTAATCTCTGAAGTGCTTTCGTCAGATTCTTGAGTTGTTTTTTAATACGGGGGGATCGTTGTTGTTGCCATTGGCGTCGTACTTGTCGTTTCTCCTGTATAAGGGTTGCAATTTCGTTCGATGTATGGTAGTTTATAGGTTTGTGGGGTATTGGGAGTGGGTTGATATTCGAGCGGCTTGTTGAAGTAAAGCTGTGAAGTCCTGGACTGCCTTGTCAATTTCAATATTTGATTTTAGGGAAATGTCGGTGTTAATATGTGAGCTAACATATTTTTTAAATTTTAGCCAATTTGTGTGCTGGTTTGTGAGCTTTTCATCAGATTTTGGATTGACTATTGTTGTGTTTCTAATCAGAATAAAAGTCGGCGTGTGATCAGAGGAGAGTTCTAAGGATGCCTCGGTAGCAATTTGATCTCTTTTTAAATTCTTTGTTACCGCAAAATCAATGACGTCTGGAGTTTTTTTCCGATCTGAAGGCCAGTATGTTGGTGTGCCAGTGGAGGATATGTTAAGGTCGAGTTTTGATATCACGTTCATCAGGGATTTTTCTTTGGTGATATAAGTCTTGAGCCCCAGAATGTGTGTTTGGCATTGAAGTCGCCGGCCGCTATGAACTTGGGTCCAAGCTTTGTAAAATATTCTTCGAATTGAAGTTCCGTTATTTTATACCTTGGTGGACAATAGATTGAGGTTATATTCAGACCTTTTATGTATTCTTCTAGACATATGCTTGTCGCCTGCATATATTCTGCTTCAAGGGTTTGAGTTGGGAAGTGTTTAATGTGGTTTTTTATGAGGATAGCAGATCCGCCTCTTGCTCGTCCACTGGGGTGTTTCGAATCGTAGAGTATGTAACCAGGTATCTTAAAGTAGCTTTTCTCGTTAAAATGGGTTTCTGAGATCAGCATGACGTCAATTTGATGTGATTGTAAAAACAATACAAGTATACCAAAAGCAAATTTTGATTGCATTCATGGTTTGGATAGGATTGAAAGTAAGATATTTTGATTTTGAATCATTCCCTGCATCATATTTTGCATGGTGTTCATAAATTGTGTCATGTTTTCCATAAACAGTTGGATCATGTTTTCAATATTTGAAGATGGTTTAGTAGAGTTTTCATTTTGGACGTTGCTTGGGCCAGTGAATCCTCTAACAGCGTTTGCATATGATATTTGTGTACACGTATTGTTGGAGTCAGATGGAGCATTTGGCTGAGATCGCATTTGAGTAGGGTGTGGTGGGATTACTGACTGAGAGCGGGGACGCAATGCTGGAAACATTCTTTGTTTTTCGGTAGTGTATACTACACATCCTTTATAATTAGCGGTGTGGTTGCCTCCACAATTTCCGCATTTTTTTGTTGTTGGGTCCTTCTTATTTGATGTGCAATCTTTAGTGCGGTGAAAGTCGCCACATGCAACACAAACACTACGAAGTGTGCAATAGGACTTCGAATGTCCATATTCCTGACAATTAGTACACTGCACCGGGTTTTTACGCTTGTGCGGTTCTTCTACTGATATTTTTCTGTGTAGTAGGAATTGTAGGGAATAAATTGGATGAGCCTCGTTTGATTTGAGTTTCTTTCCTTCAGGTTCAAGCTCTATTTTATAAAGTGGTGCGAAACTTTATCGCGGTTTTTAATGTTGTATATAGATTTTGATTTAAATCCTTTTTCTTCAAGTGCTTCTTTAATTTCTGCTGTATTCAAATCTGGTTCTATTCCTCTTATAACTACTGTTAATCCTTTGGCACTTTTTAATTGATAGGTGTAAAAATTTTTTCCATTTTTTTCGAAGTTGTTTACAACTGCTCTGTAATGTTTTTCTTCGTTGATCGAGATTTTTGTTTCATCGACATTTCCTTTACGAAGAGGCACAACATGGAATGAATCTTTGCCAATACTTTGTGTTAGGGAGTATATAAGAGCGTTTGAATTTTTTTCACGCAGAAATATGGGTGGCGGTTTCTGGGTGGGGGCGGGTCTGGTATTTTTATCGTCTTCGGCTAGAACGGCAAAACGATTCGCTGTCGAAATATTTTCTATTTTTCGAGTTTTTGTCGAGATTGCATTGTTAGCATTTTCTTGTTTCGGGCTACGTTTTCTTTTTATGATTTGAATATATTTATCCATGCCGCGGACTTTGGGTGAATCAGGATTTTTTGCTATGTTACTATTCTTTTGCAATATATTTGGCAATGTGTTAACATGTTGCGCTGATGCTGTGTTATTTTTCGAAGATGTTGCTGGACTTTGCGGTTGGTAGCTTGATTGTTTGCAAGATTTTCACTTACCGAGTATGAGCGTTGCCTTTGGGTTTGGTTGTTTAGCATTGTTGTTTGGTTCGTGGTTGGCTTCTCAGAACTACCATCTGCTGTTGGGTAGCATATGGGTGAGTGGTTTGTGCCTCCGCTATGCGAAGGCGGTGATCTATTAATTGGCATATCGTGGTTGGTATCGTGGAAGTTAGCTGAGCAGCCAACTGTCTCTGAGTAATTTGTTGTGAAAAAGAAGCTTTTACTTTTTAATTATTTAATTATAAACCTTTAGAGTTCTGTTTTAAATGGCACGAGAAAAATAGTATGTATTTAAAAAGAAAAAATATAAATATATATTATTAATATAAGTATAATATAAATTTATAATATAATAAAATATAAATTTCAATTTTTCTTAAGAATTTATCAAACAATAAATTTTTTTTTTTTGTTTTGAGGCGTCCTTTCGCGTATTTATTTATTTTATTTATTTAGCATAAGTTTGTTATTTAATTACACAATTACACAATTTTTCAAATTTGCGATTTGTAATTTGTTTAGCTATTCTACCCGTTTGCAACACTTTTTTGTAAATTTGTTTTTGAGCTTTTAAGCTTTGTTTGCTGTCTCTATCAGCTGTTTTCAAGTGTGTGTGAATTTGGAAAAAAGTAAACAAATTCGAAAACAAAATCAAAATTTACTTTTTTCGCAAAAATAAATAAATATAATAATATTTTATTTTATCGGGCACTATTATTTTTTTATTAATATTATTTAAGAGTCACTGTCTCAATTATTTGTGATGAGTTTAATATCACTTTTTAAGTTTTTCGCTTAGAAAACACTGAAAGTTACGGAGTGATTTTTTTGCGCGCCAATGCTGATTACTATTATGACTATACTCGCAACGAAGAAATAAGAAAAAAAAAAAAGAACAAAAAAAAAAAGAAATAAGAAAAAAAAAGTCTCAAAATATTAATTTATAAAAGCCCAGAACATATCACTGATACAATGAGAAGATACAGACTTTTAGAAGAATATCATAATACTCCTTACAGTAGACACTTAGGTGTAAAGAAGACATTCATAAAATTAAAACAACGGTATACGTGGACCAAAATGAAACAAATGGTTTATAAATATATCAGCACATGTCATAAATGTCAAATCAACAAACAGACAAAACATACAAAAGAACAATTAGAAATTGTTCAAACGTTGTACAAATTTGTACAAACGTTTTCGATACAGTAGAAATTGATACCGTAGGCCTTCTTCGACCTTCAAATGGATTTACATATATTCTCACAATGCAATGTGAATTAAGTAGATTTATCAATGCATATCCCATGGTAAATAAAGAAGCACATACAGTAGCTAAAACATTAGTTGAACAACTAATATTAAAATTCGGTTTATTCAAAATACTCAAATCAGACAGAGGAACTGAGTTTGTAAATGAATTATTCACAAAAATCACAGAATTACTAGACATAAAACAAGTACTCTCAACTCCTAACCATCATGAAACTATTGTTACCATAGTGAGGAATCATAGAGTCCTCGATTAATATCTTTTAAATTTTACTGAAGAAGAAGAATGGGACAAGTGGATACCATATTATGCTTTTGCATATAATACTTCACCCCACATAGACACTGGCTATACGTAACATGAACTTGTTTTTGGCAAACTACCCTCACTTCCTGATGAAAAACGCAAGGATGATATAGGTTAATTCAAATAAGAAAATTACACAAACGAACTGAAAGCTCGTCTCAAAGTATCGATTGAAAAAGTTAGAAAGTTCACACATGATGCCGAGGTTAAAAGGCAAAAACAAACTAGTACAGCCCTCTTTGCTGTCCCAAAATTAACAAAACCATCTGCAGTTCATTTAAGAAATGTATTAAATGCAGCGAATGCACATTTGATTGCAATGCTATCATTAGGTGATTACAAAGATATAGCGTATGCCATGTTAATTCATTTGGTGATGGAAAGAGTGGACGAAGATTCGCAGGTCAAATGGGAAGAATCAGTGGATTACAGGAAGCTGTCAACTTGGAATGACTGTTCAGCGGTTTTGACGGGGCGATGTGAGAACCTTGATGCAAGGGGACATAAAGTTAATCAAGTGAATTCAAAGGCTGTAAACTGTTCTTTAAAAGAACGCTTAAACGTAGCACGGAAAATAAAGGTATGTTTTACATGTTTGAAAAGGGGACACCTTTAAAAAGAATGCTCGGCTGTTAAATGCTCGAAATGTAATTTATCTCATCATCAACTTTTACATAAAGATTATATCTTGGAGCCAAATGAACAAAGATGCAAAAATTGGCCATCTACGTCAACACAGGAGACAGCTCAGTCATCAGTTATGAACGTAATGACTGAAAACGAGGTTTTTTTGGCAACAGCAGTAGTAATGGTAGCGGACAAGTTTGGCAAATATCACCAAATGCGAGCCATATTAGATTCTGGCTCTCAAGTAAATTTGATATGTGAGAATCTTGCTCAAAAACTGTTACTAAAAAAAAACGTCTTGTAAATTAGATGCTAACTGTGTTGGAGACGTTGTAACTAGCTTTAAAACAAAGACTGTGGCTACCATCAAATCAAGAATAAATGAGTTCGAAGTCAGTCCGCAATTTTATGTTTTACCGAAAATAACAAGCTCCAAACCAAATCGGTATGTCGATGTTGGGGACTGAAATTGACCAAAAAATATTCAAATGGCTGATCCAATGTTCAATAAGCCAGCGCGTACAGATATTTTAATTGGTGCGGAAATTTTCTTCGATTTGTTGTCGATTGGACGAATTTATCTTAATGAAAGGTCGCCAACCCTACAGAAATCCATACTAGGGTGGATAGTTGCAGGCAAAGCAGAAGAATGTTTAGCGCCTAGTCATAAAATAAATAATATGCTGGTCAATCACAACCATAATGAGAATGAAAACTTGAGTCAATTGGTTGAAAAATTCTGGAAAATAGAACAGATTTCAACTAAATCAAATTTTTTAATCAAAGAAGAAGAGGAATGCGAGAAAATTTTCCATGAATCAATTCGTAGAGATACATCTGGCCGATTTATTACGAAAATACCATTTAAAACAACAGTGAGTGATTTGGGTGGTTCCTATAATGCTGCCAAACGACGGCAGCACTAGAGCGTAGGTTGAGTAGAGATCACTCTACACGAGACGCTTACAACGTATTTATGGATGAGTACCTCTCTTTAGGTCACATGACGATTGTTGAAGAAGCTGATATGGATAAGATAAAATATTTTGCACCGCATCAGTATGTACTACGACCAGACTCCACGAGTACGAAACTTCGAGTTGTGTTCGATTGTAGCTGTAAAACTGACAGTGGCTTGTCATTAAATGAGGTAATGATGAAAGGACCACTGGTTCAAGAAGACCTGTTATCTATAATACTGCGATTTAGATGTCACAAATATGCAATTACGGCAGATGTAACAAAAATGTATCGCCAACCATGGGTGACTGATGATGATACGAATTATCAAACGATTTTGTGGAGGTCTTTTTCAGACGAAAACATAAAGGCCTATCGCTTGCGAACCATTACTTATGGTACAACATCTGCCCCCTATTTAGCTATAAGATGCTTAAAACAGTTAAGTGAAGATTATATCGATAAATATCCGATTGGATCGAGAAAGGTGTTATCTGATGTTTATATAGATGATTTGATCAGTGGATCAAACGATGAAGATGAAATTTTTGAAATATATAATTAAGTATCAGCAGTAATGAACTCAGCAAAATTTAAGTTAAGGAAGTGGTTTTCAAATAGTGAAAAATTTCTTAATTTCGTACCTGAAGCTGATAAAGAAAAGACTCTTCGGATGAATGATGAGGAAATAATAAAAACTCTTGGTATCATCTGGGCTCCAGTAGGAGATACGTTTCGATACATTTGGCCAGATTTTGATAGCTCGAAAACGGTGACAAAAAGAATAGTGTTGTCGGAACTATCTAAGTTGTTTGATCCCCTTGGGCTTATTAACCCATTAATCGTAAAGGTGAAGAATTTCATGCAAGATTTGTGGATATTGAAGGCTAATTGGGATGAATCCCTACCAATGAATTTACATAGTCAATGGATAGAATTCCGCGAAAATCTAGAAGATGTCAAGAAAATAAGTGTGCCTCGATTTGTTTTGGCAGAAAAAAGAGTTGCTAGAGTTGAAATGCATGGATTTGCTGATGCATCAAAAAGAGCTTTCGGGTGTTGTATTTATATTCGCTCAATATGTGTGGACAAAGACGTTACAATGCAGTTGTGGAGTGCTAAATCCAGAGTAGCACCACTAAAAACTTTATCTTTACCAAAATTTGAAATTTTGGCTGCGGAATTGCTGTCGAAACTAGTGACAAAAACCAAATCCAATTTTCCAATTTCTATTGACGCGACCTATTTATGCGTGGATTCCGAAATTGTGCTAGATTGGCTGAGCGAGCATCCATCAAATTGGAACACATTTGTTGTCAACCGGGTAACATTGATTCAAGAGCAGACAAAAACGTGTATTTGGCGGCATGTTCCTTCAAAGTCTAACCCAGCGGATATAATATCAAGAGGTGCGTATGTAGATGAATTATCTAATTCTATTTGGTTTGCAGGTCCTTCTTTCTTGAAGAGAGATTGTTGTGAGTGGCCACCAAATAAGTCTAGAAAGAATATTAATGCTGACCAAGAAAGGAGTCGTAATAGTACGATAATGACTGTTAATTATTTGAAAAAAAAAAAATACCTTAAGAGGCATGCTCTGAGGATAACTCGAAATCTTCTTTTGTGACGTGAGTTGAAATCTTCAGCGATTTTGAAAAATTACAAAGAATTTTTGCCAATCTTCTTGGCTTTCGAAGAATCGTTAAGTCTATGACTGAAAGATTAGATGAAGCACTAGTGCGTATATTCTACTGTGTGTAACAACATTATTTCAAAGAAGAAATTGAGCTGCTATTGAAGAATAGAGAATTGCCAGCAAACAGTAAATATAAAAATCTGAGCATTTTTGTAAAAGATACTTATGGTGTTCCGCTACTACGTGTTGGTGGGAGATTAGCGAAGGCTGCATTGCCATATGATGCTAAACATCAAATTTTGTTACCAAATAACTCAGAAATCGTTTGCAGTTTTGTACGAATTCTTCATTTCAAATATTTGCATACTGGTACGCAAGCGCTTATGGCTATAGTTAGGCAGCGATTTTGGACATTTCATGCTAGAGGAGTAACACGCAAAATTACTGGTAGTTGTCTACAATGCTTTAGATGCCATCCAAAATTGAGTAATCAGATTATGGGCGATATACCCTCTTCTAGAGTCACCGTAGCGAGGCCATTCACTGTGACTAGAGTGGATTTTTGTGGCCCTATTACAACAACGTATCTGCTTCGTGGGTACAGAACAACAAAAAGCTATATTGCTGTTTTTATTTGTATTGCCACAAAAGCTGTGCATATGGAGGTGGTCTCTGATTTGACTGCAAAGGCTTTCCTGGCTTCATTAAAAAGATTTGTAGCTCGACGCGGCTATTGCTTAAAATTATTTTGCGACAATGCCACTTATTTAGTGGGTACTCGTAAAGAGCTCGAAGAAATGAAATGCAAATTTTTTGATCAACAAGTACAGGGCAAGATTTCAAAATATTGTACTGTCAATAGTATTGAATTTCATCATATACCACCCAGATCTCCCCACTTTGGTGGACTATGGGAAGCGGCTGTAAAATCAGCAAAATATCATTTGGCTAGAATATTGGGTCAATCGCATCTTACATTTGAAGAGCTGGCAACAGTAGTTGCAGAAGTAGAGGCAGTTTTAAATTCAAGACCTTTGACAACCTTGTCCAACGACCGAAAATAATAAGAAAAACAAATAATAAGAGAAACAGCCATTAAAAAATTCAAAGTAACTACAAGGCTGGGAAATAAACACAAGAAAAGAATAGAAACAAATGAAAAAAAAATAATGAAATTTGTAATAAAATGGAAAACCTAATAGCCCAGCTAGCAATTAAAGGTGATTGTTTAAACATAAGAATGAATAAAAAAGTGATCCCACAAGACATAAAAAACTTAAGCGCTAATGGAAAAATTAACTTTTTACGATGACAAAATAAAATTATTACAAAAATACTAAGATGATCTAATCTGGGGAAGCCATCCAGGGATCACGCGGACATTGAATAAAATAAGACAGTATTATTCCAGGAAAAACATTACTAAAGATGTCACTAAATATGTCAAAAAATGTGACAAGTGTCAAAGAAATAAATCCTTGACAAAAACAAAGACAGAAATGATAATAACCGATACACCAACTGCTGCCTTTGATGTAGTCTTGATAGATACCATTGGACTATTTCCAAAACCGGAAAAAGGTAATTCATACGCAGTTACATGATATGTGACTTAACAAAATATCTGGTATCGGTACCAATTGCAGAAAAAAGTGCAAAAACAATAGCAAAAGCAGTATTCGAAAACTTTATACTGATTTACGGACCTATGAAGAAAATTATTACAGGCATGGGTACCGAGTATAAAAATAAAATTTTCGATGAAATATGCAGTCTATTAAAGGTAGAAAATACTACGTCAACCGCGTACCACCATCAATCATTAGGCATAGAAAAACGAAATCATAGGACATTTAACGAGTACATAAGATCATACATTTCCATAGAAAAAATGGACTGGGATGAATGGCTATGTTACAATATTTTACATATTGTTCTAACACTACACCTTCAATTGTACATGAGTATTGTCCTTATGAATTGGTTTTCGGTAAATCACCCACTATCTATGATTTTCTTAACACTTATATATAGATCCCGTTTATAATATAGAAACGTACGACAAAGAAATAAAATTTCGTTTGCAAAACGCAAATAAACGCGCGATAAAAGCAATAGAAAATAGAAAACAAATAAGTAAAAATTTATATGATAGGAATGCACTTAATAGTATCTGTAGGAGACTTAGTATTAGTTAAACAAGTAGGACATAAATTAGATAGTTTATATAAGGGCCCATTTAAGTTAGTAAATACAGATAATAAAAATAACGCATTAATTCAAACTAATAAGAACAAAATAAGTAAGATAGATTTAGACAGATTGAGACTGTATAATAAATAAATAAAAAAAAAATGTTTGTTTTATTTATATGTATTAAATTTTTAAATATATTTCAAAAAAAAATAAACTATAAAATAAGATAATATGTAATTTTTATTCCTTTTTGTTTCAAATAAACTCATTCTTAAAAAGAAGGGAGGTGTAGCGTACATGCATCTAAGATATACTTTGTTATGAACAGCGACATGGAATGTGCTTAACTAGCATATTTCTGTCTCTTATCGCCCAAGCAACAATATCGCTTGCCTAACAAAGTTATGTTATTGTACATTTACCAATGCATGCATGCTACTCCGTAAACAATATTATAATGCTTGCGTAAGCATATGTGCGCTTGTGCACAATGCATCTTAAGGTAGTTTTAAGATTGTAATTTTCAGTAATTAAATAAAGAGCTAACCGCATGTACTATATTTTTGGTTTAACGGATAATTATTATCATTACAGTATCGAAATGGGCCATGTTTCTTCAAGAATTTGAATATGAATTAAAGCACAGATCCGGAACTTAAATGAGACATGTAGATGCTCTTAGCAGAGCAGCATGCATGATGTGTGGAAGACGCTTTAAAATATCGAATTAAAAGAATGCAGCTAGAAGGTGAACATTTAAGAGCAATTATGAAAGCAGTCCTTGAAAGTTCTTGAATTGACAAATTATGAAGATTATTATCAGGCCTATTCTGAATCGCATGGGAATGGGAGTTTGTTCTTTATTCCCAAGTTTGCTATTCTGAATAATTTGGGAATGGAAGTTTTGTTCCCTGTTCCCAATTTTGCTATTCTGAATCGCATGGGAATGGGAGTTTTTTCCCAATTTTGCACAAATTCTTTCCCAAGCAAATTGTTGGGGAGACAAGTTAAGAAAGTATTAAAAATGGTTTAATTTAATATAAAAGTAACTGAAAATGATCAGATTTTTGAATATATTTTAATAAAATTATTATTATAATAAAATTCTTACAATAAATTTAATATTTTCAAAGT